ATTTAACTGTGAATATGTATAAAATTATTATTTATAGCATTTACTAATTATTTTACAATAAAATCATTTGTCTCTACTAATCTATAACAAGGATATGCACTGCACTTCTAAATGTAAATAATGTCATTACTAAAGTTTAAACTTATTTTTATGGAGAAAATATACAGTTTGTAATAGAAATTTGAATAATATTTAAATCTATCGGGAAAAAATCTGATATAAAAGTGAATAAATTATTTATTTGGACGAAACTAAGCATTATCAATTTGCTATTATGGACCAATCGGTTGTAAATCTAAACGTCGCTAAGTTAATTTCTATCGATTTTGCTTCGAGAAAAATTACTAAGTCTTTGACTGATTTAGAAAATGCTACGATCAAAAAATAGTTTGTTCCTCAATTGATCGAGCAACAATGATGCCAAGGAATGTTATCACAAATAATGAAATTACAGTCGACTCGGATAGTTCGAATCGTCTAGACTTGTATGTAGCATTACTTACTCTCTCTCAATTCACTTTTTATTAATCAACTTGTGTTATTTAAACTCTAAAATTGTAATTTAAACACTCATACTTACATTTTTCATTTTCTTTATTTTCATTACATTAAATCAGCTTTTCTTGGCTTAAATTTAAACTTTAAACGAATAATTATATAGAGTGACGAAAATTATTATTATTTATATTTTAATATATTAAAAATGTATAATATAAAAAATATCCATCTTAAATAAATCTTAAACAGCTTTGAATCTTTATAAAACTATTAAATTTTATGTTGTTTTTAATTAAATAATGTTTTGTCTATTAGTATTTAACTATAAAAACTAAATAAATCTAGTCAAATCTTAATTTAACACCATTTGCTTGTCTCCGAAATTGATACTAAATCGGATATGATGCTAAACTGAAGTACTGTACCTCAAACAATAAGAATTATATATAGCCTATTCATTTGTAATGCTGAATAGTAAATTTAGTAATTCACATATAATGAAAGATTCTCTAACATGAAAATCTATCTATTCAGCGTATTCTTTGAAACTTTAAGAAGAGGATAGTACTGTTTACAAGAGCGTTATATCGAGTGTTGTCTATAATGGATACGAAACATTTATAATAAATTTATGCATTTAAATAACAGTTATACCGTATGAATATTTGTATAAATTTTTCTCATATCCTTATACACTAAGGGAGGAAGCCGAGTTCGAATTCCAATAATATTCATTCTTTCTTTCCTCTATGTCCTTACTATTTTACTTTTTGTTTCTATACTGTCTACTTGGACCTTGTTTATTAATAGGACTGGTATCTTTAGGTTCGAAACACACAAAAAAGTGTACAGATGAAAATAAAGATATTTTGTTTTGACGTTTGACTAAGATATCCTCTTTATGCTAATAAGAAACTACACCAGTATAATAAGTCCTATTATTAAACAAAGTCAAAGTTCAAGTAGACAACATAGAAGAAGAAAATCCAAGAATTATTTGTATGGTAAAAATTATTAAGTGAATTAATCCTTGGAATTTTACAATTCGTGTCCAATAATATTCTTTTGTGCCAGAGATCTGAACCCGTGACTTTCAATGCGTTAAACCCTTAAAATGCTTAATACTATTTTTGTTTATTTGTTGATTATGCCGTTATATTATTTTTTATGAAATGGATTTCGGCACAAATTGTATAAAGATCGTAGGGATATTTAAGTTAAATAGCTAATCCGAAATCAATAAATACTTTTTCAAAGTCAATATTTGATATATTCGACGACGTCTAAGCCAGATGTTTTTCAAATAAGACTCCGAGTAAAATATTTGTTAAAATTTCTAAGAATAGCGAAAACTACAAATTCGGAGATTTTATTTTTATTATCGCGAATCCATCAATCACAAATAACTAAATTTTACTAAATTATTTTGTTTTCTTTGTTTTTGTATATCTGAACGTTTAAAAACACTTCTTAATTTTTCACTTAATAATTGCTTAAAAATACAGTCAATGGCGCGTTATAGCTTCATGGGGCCCAGGCAAATTTGAATTGGGGAGCCCCATGTACAGTACAGTGTTGAGACATTTCAGACAGTTTTCTTCGGAGAAAGATTTTGGGGAAATATTTTCTTATAAAAGATTTGTTTGGGCCCCTTATTGGTGGGGGCCCCAGGGAATTACCCTATTTCGACTATAGGATAACGCGTACTGAATACAATATTATCATACACTATTAACTTGTAAGTGTATATAAATTTATACACGATCTTCCTAAAGATAGTAATTCAAACTAAAAGCAAAATTCTGTACATAAATTACTTTTGAATACTTTTTTCGTAAGTTTAACAGCGAACATTAAAAAAAAAAAGAACTTTGAAAAGACTTTGAAGATTAAAAGTAACCTAAATGACATGATATTTAAAAAAGAATTGAATTTTTTAGTTAACATAATCGATGAAATTGCGAAAATATTAAAAATTAAAAAAAAAATGAAAAATATTATAGAAAAATAAATAAATAAGGACTTAAATCGTTTTCTTTTGAGATAATCTAGCGAAAGATACGGCTTAGAACTATATTAAATGACAGAAATATTTTATTCTATAGAGCATTCTTTTAACCATTCTTTAAAATATATCTCATATTTTTAAACATATTTGAATGTCGTAAACATCCATTTCAAATATCAAGAAGATAAAACTATTATAATAAAGTTTCATTCAATCACTAAGTAAATGGAGCGATTAATTCTTTTAAATTTTATCTTCCCGAGCTACATTGAAACATAGAAAAATAATTTATATTTTAGTATAAAATGTACAGTACAGTACAATATTATACGTCCGAATTCAAGCGATATTTTAATTATTTTTCTCAAATATTATATTACGATATGGAAACTTAGTACACGAATATATCGAAATGTAAATATACTTGGACTTGTTCATGTATAAAATAGACATACGTATGGGCACTTTGTGATTCTTTATCGAATCAAGTTTATTTTGTACAACAGTACAAAATAAACTTGGAATGCATTTCGGGATTTTATTCTCTCCATATATACTGTTCTATATGAAATTATACAGGGATAGTACGTATAGTTAGTCGAGAAGGAGATAAAAATCCCGAAATGCATCCCAAATTCATGTGTACTGTAAGATACAATGGAATCACGAAGTGCTTCTACGTATGGTGGCTAACTTAAACTTTAAGTATAATCATTTTATCGAATGATTATACTTAAATTTAAGTTACTGCAAATCTATTCACTCTATTGAATTGTTTATTGTGGATTTTAATTAAATTAATAAAGAATACATTATTATTATTATTATTATTATTTATAAATTATAGTCTACTCATTACTTCTCAAATTTGATTTTTATTTAAAGTTTTCTTAAATTTCCTTTCTAAACTTCACAATTTTAAAACTTTTAATATTAAATTTAAATTATAATGTGCTCTACTATAAAGTTTGTAAAAGTTTAAAAATTTTTCTAAGTTAAAAAAATATAAAAATTAGAATTAAAATAATATTTTATTATTTTTAATATAAAATTCTGATATTTAATAGCAAACAAACAACAAATATTAACTTATTTTTCTAAAATATTTTAATTTCAGTATAAGATAATATAACAATTCAACTAAAAGTATCAGTCTATTTTTTTACAAAAAAAAAAATACATAAATAGAAAATTTCCCGATTTATTTATTCACTTACCCGTTGAATCAATAAAATTACTATCCAAATTTCTACAGTTACGAGTCAGTTACAAGTCATTAGTTTACAAGCGTTAAAAACATGATATTAATTTAATTTACGAGATCGATATGACGAAGAAAAAAAAAAATGAAAATATCAAAATTATCTGTTCACTTTTTCTTTACTTATTTTTAATTATAATTAATTTATAAATTTTTAAACTTAATAACATAATTAATTTCTCGTCTCGAAATCTTTCTTCGTCTCATATTATTTTAACAGAACAATAATGTTGATCAAGTTATTAATGTTTTAAATGTGCAAATTTAAAATAGAGTTTTTAATATTAAATAAGTAATTAAAATATTTTTCCATTATTTACTTTAATTAAGATAATTAAACATTATTTTCTACAGATTTTTAGACAAGTATTTACTTAATTAAAATATATAGGCCTATACTTATATTATTTAAAAACATTTTTAACATAATAAGACGAGGTAGAGATGAAAATAGAAATCGTTCATATTAGATTAAGTGACAAGAAGTGTGTTCAAACTGGAGTTCAATCAATCTGTAGATCTTTCTCTACAGATTGCAATTAATTTATCTGGTTACACAACGAATAAAACGGATCTTTCATTACAAACGAAGCCTTTCTCGCTGTCTAAGCAAAAATGAAAAGAAGGAATTTTTCTAACAATAATTTAAAATACTTTTGATGTGGAAAGAGATACGACGTTCTCTCATTCATAACATCTTCCATGATTTACGCATCGCATTATCTACACCATTGAACCAACGAAAAATTCCTATTAATTTCTTTCTCCTTGTCGTCTATAATTAAGTTTTTTTTTTCCTGTTTTCCCCCCATAAGATTTGATTGCGTCGTCAAATATTTTTTCGAATTTTTACAGCTCCGTATTACATAATACTGGATTTTCTAGTAAAACACCGCGCGTTTTATCCTTTAATTTATTATAAATCGGCGTATAACGCGCACGGTATTTAATTAGATTATTATGTTAAACTTGTCGTATTAAAGTATCAAATTTACCTGCCTGCAGTTTTGTTAATTAAAGGAGTATCGAGGAAATTCGATAGCGTAAAACTTTAGTAGTGACACGAAAGATTTTACAAATTACGAGCACCCGTTAACCATAAACATGGTCTTGACGTTAGTTACGCAACCCGCAAACCAAATCGATTTTAATTAATTGGAGTTAAGCGTGGATAATAATTATCTAGAGGCGTATAGAAGAGGCGAAAGGCTATTAAAAGTGTAAAGAACTCACCTGACCAACCGGATCGGCGGGACCGAGTGTCAGGTACTCCCACTCCGGAATTTACCGCCATCTCCAATTAAGTCGGAGCGCCATCTGCACGAACGATCGGGAGTCAAAGAAGTGGAAGGAGGTAAGAAGAAAGGCGCTGAGTCGGCGGAGGTGAAATATGTCGTTGGCGCTTGGGGCGATTGAAGCGCTTCTACGCTCGATTAGGCATCGGAACTAGGCGGAAGGCAATTGGACGACGTCGTCACCACTCCGCGTCGCTACCGACAATTGACGGACCCGGAATTTAGGCCGACCGACTAAAGGATAATGGGTGACGGATTGGTCACACTAATCTCTTCCCACGCCGAATTCCTCGGATTTAAGCCATCGACATCAACTATCTAACAACTATTCGCCTCCCTACCATATTTATCGTCACTGCGCTCTTCTAAAAAAACAAAACACCCCCTCGACGCAGGTAACCTTTTCGTCTTTGCACCAAAAAAAAGCACGCGTATTTTTTGGACGATGGCTATACAAAAACGACATAGGAATTGTAATTACTCGGTATGAATAGCCAATTTCCGTTTAATTCGTCGTCCGGTACTAAGTAGAAATGTGGAAGTAAGTATCGATCTCGCATTTCTTTTATTTTTGAGCTCGACGAATGCCGATTCGAAAAAAATATATGAAGAAATAACATTCTGGTCGGTTTCTAGGACACTTTTGCTTTGTGTTTTTGAAAAATTAGAAGAAAATTAAAGCGAAACGTCTCTTTATCGACCATAAATACCACTAAGAAAAACATAAATCAGTGATGATGCTAGAGAAAAAAATAACAATCGACCTAATTAAAATGTACTCGCGAAGATACCGAAACGGGCGAGAACAAGTTCTATTTTTAAAATTAACTTTTCAGTTAATTTTAGTTACATATTTAATAATCAAATTAAATGCGTTGAAACTTATCCAAAGAGAAGCGTGTGTATCGAGAGGGAACTTTTTAAATTAGATAAAAGACGATTTAAAAAATAGAAGCAACTTTTTTTTTAAGCTCATTTTTGTCGATTGCCAAAGAGCGAAATCATCGAAGAGATAATGCATTTGATGGGGGTTTATCGATTGTCTTATAATATCTTTCTGGGATTTTTAATTTATTTTATTAACTTTGTATTTTCTTTGATTAAAATCGAGTGGTCGAAAGTATTTGGAAACTCGTACCCGATGTTGTAAACGTGGCTTCTGATGTCGCTCGACTTCTCTTAGGACGTTGAAATTCATTACAAATGATGATTTTATTTCGGTTGTTTTATTAATGAAATGCAAGCAATAAATGTTTTTTTTTCGTTTTATGTAAATAAACGAGAGTTATGGTTAACGATCTACCATAAAATCTTTCCGTATTTCTTAATTAATATTGTCTACCCGAAAGTTACTAATCGATAAATCTCATTTTGTGTATCAGTTTTTAAAATTTGAATATTCAAGATCAAAACGGTTTCTACAGTACTGTACAAATCTACAAAATATAAATTAATTCTAGTATCATTAATACGTGACTTGTCGCCGAGTTATATTCAAAGTTATCGTTTATATTTTAAGTTAATTTAAATCTAGTTTCGATAAACTGTAAGAAAATAATATATCCTAAATTAATAATAATATTACATTTATTTTTTTCTGAATTGAATAGTTTATACTTAAAGTTAGTAAGGGAGTAGTCCTACTTTTTAAAATTTTATTAAAATATTTCTCTTTATCAATAAATCTTGTTTGTTGTAATATAATTTTATTCAAAGTACGCTCTACTTTCTGCAAGTATGATATATCTATGTACTTTACCATATTCACCACTTTACATAAGACATCCCATAGATAGGCTATAAGGCATACAAATATTTAGAAATAAACTAAAATTTTTATTTCTTTTATTATATAATTTACAATATTGCCTAAACAAAAATTTAGCATAAATTATACTATATTAATGGATAAATTTTAAAAAAAATGCATGGAAACAATCTCTAATATAGCCTAATGTCACACAAACAAATACTATGTGTAAATATTTTAAATTCCATTGTTTCTATTCAGATTTTCATCATTAATTGCATGATATATTCTGTTTAAATTAAATCTTTTAATTCAATAAAATTATGAAATTAGTATCCTCTCGAGTGTACTGATTTTGCGCATGCATCTCAAATGATTTCTATTGGATTGGGATCTAGAGAATGAATTGTTAATCAAGAATAGGAAATCATTACAATATTATTATAGAAGTACTGTACAAATGAGAGCGTTGTCTTGCTAAAATCACCGAAATGGCCGTTTATTTTCTCAACAAGTTTAGTTTCAAGTATCTTTTTCTAACCAATATCATTTATTTTATTAGTTACAAAAATAAGAATTATCTAACCATTCTATCCAAACTTTCTCCATGCAATGATTGAATCACACTTTGCTACCGTCTATAAAATATTTCTTCCTGTTTTTCAGACGTTTCCAATAATATTGTCAACGATTTGCTAGATCCGAACTAAATGATTTTCATTGTTGAATATAATAGTCTTTTATTTTTTCTTCATTCTATAGTTTATTTTAAAGATTTAACCGTTTATATAGCAGTTCTTGATGAGAATATTCTTTCAAATGTTACATTTCTATAATGTTCTAGATAATACTGATAATTTGTTTGATAATTTTACGCAAAGATGTATTATTTTCTCCAAGATCTTCGATAATTGCTCATTTTTCTGTAACAGTATGTGTTGCGCTCACTCTATAATTCTACCGAACTGCATTTGTAAATTACAATTAATATTGACTAAATATTCTTTCAATATTACTAGAATTTAGTCTTTTTCTATAATTTTCCTCGAAACATTATAATTTTTACAAATAAGAAAGCAAATTCACTGGATAAATATGAGTTAGTATATCCTTAAAATTATTTCTCTCCTTAATATTAAATCAATATAATTAACAAATTAAAAAAATTCCATATGACTTTATATTCACACGTCATTTTTCTGTTACTTATTTTATATTTTCTCTTTGATTTATTTATCTATTAAACTTATATTTCTGTATTTAAAGTCATACCAAAATTTAGATTATACTAAAGAATTGTTATTAACAAAAAATTAACTAATTAAAAAAATAACATTCACAAAATTTATTTTAATTTCCAGAATAAAGGAATATATTTTTTAGACTTTATATATGGGTTATTACTTAAAAAATAATAAAAGCCAAGACCTATATCTGTGTATAATGCGCATCATCCATGTATTAAGACAAACGTAATCATTATTATTATTATTCATGTAGATACATATTGAGAGTGATTTCCTGTATTCGTCATTAAAAAATAATTAAGAATATGTTAGAGCCGACATAATAATAATCATGAATGAAACGAGTGGAAAGCGATCGAACAATTCGCCCGTTAGTTTTAGTATGGACTAAATATAATTCGCCGTGTTTCCTGAAGGAAATGGAACCTTAATGACAATTATTTTGCAGATAATGTTCACTTCCAAACTAATTGATTACTCGATACCAATGTTCCGTAATTATTGTGGTTACGGCGATATCTCCGGACACTTTCCTAAATTTATCCGCTTTGAGCCGAGTTAATTAACATTAAACTAAGAAAAAATAAAGTTTTTAAAGTAATTTGTTCATTCGAATTCATGAAGTTCATATATTTTTAAATTTGTTTACATAAACTCTTTTATAAATAGTAGCCAGTATTAATTAACTAATTAATAATTATACATTTTGGACTTAAGGTTTTTAGGGTTTCATAAAAAAAATAATGCCGTATCTCTTGTTGATCTGTGACCACTTCTGTTTCACTATGAATTATTTGATTTCAAAGTTTCAAACATAAAAAAAATTAAAACGAATCCTTAATGTAACGTTATTTTGTAAACCAACAGATTTCAAAGATTACAGATTGGTAATGTATGTAATACTGTAAGAGATTAGTTCAGCGAAAATGCATAATTAGCAATGTTTCTAATAAACGTAATAAATTTCTTTTATACATTACGAATTAATCCATACTTTTCGATTAACTCTTAGTTAGAATGTAACCCATGGGTTCTAAAATTGCGGCCGGAACGACAGATGAGACTTATTTGCCCCGCTGCATTAATGATTTCATTTCTAAAAATTAAGGTTTATAACATTTTGCGAAAATTAAAACAAAAAAAATTTTAAACCTCTGTGTCCATAAGGTACAAAGGCATGGCAACAGAAAGGTGTCTTTTAGAGCCTTTTTTGGTACAGTTTGTTTTCGGTTACCCAATAATATTAAAGACGGCCTGTTTCTAATATATATGTGGGAGCTTTGCTGCATTTAAGTTTCAGACTTCTAAAGTAACCAAACCTAGCACTGGATCAAAGTTTTACGATTTGTGTAGTTCATAAAGACAATATCATATCATGAAGGAATTGACCGTAATACTTATGAAACCATGTTTGGATCATCCTGAAAAGCTAATCCAAAGTTAGTAACTTTAACAGATAATGTTTCAGACAGT